TTTCCGCGAAATAGAAAAGTGCCGATTTTCGCGGCATCTCCTGGCCCTTTCCCGTTCACGAGATAAAACGTTTCGAACGTCAAAATCCTAGTTTTTCATTTAACGTTTTCAATTCAGAGTATGATTCGGACTCCAAATCTTTAAAAATTGTAGGTTCTGTACACTTTTCGGGAACGAAGAAAGAGAACCACTTCAATTTCTTGCTGGTACACGGGAATGGCGAACAGTCGCATTATGTTTGAATTAAAAATTTAGCGCGACTGGTTTTGGCTCAACATTCCGGTCACCGCTGCAGGATTTTCGGTTGCGACAGATGTTTGAACGTGTTTCATTACCAATCGAAACTCCAAGCTCACGAAATCGATTGCAGATCCATGGGGATTTATGCAATTTCGACATTTCGAAAGACAACAACGACGCCCAATTGATTTCGAAGCGCTCACGCTCCCTGGCTTCGTGTGAGCCCTGTCTTCGTCGAGCGGATCCTACCTTCAGCTCTACCAACTTCACGAGCCCTTTTCGGCCGCGCTACAAGTAGTGTGTTCGTTTGATGAGTCGTGGATTCAGCTGGTCACATTTCACGGTCGCGACGTCGCGTTGTAATTGTTACCGTTTTTAGAAGTCTCGCGAAAGATTACGAACAGCTTTTGAATCATCTTTCCCCCTCGTGATGGAGGATGAGGACGAAATTCCTTTTCAAAATTCCGATCTATGTCACATTTGTGAAGGACCTTGTTTTCCAAATTACGTCCGTGTCAGGGACCACGATCATTTTTCGGGGGTCTTTCGCTGCGCGGCTCATCAATCGTCACTTTCTCGCGCCGAATCACATTCCCCACGTGATGTACAACGGGAGTGGTTACGATTGGCACTTTCTTGTCCAGGCCTGGGCGAAAAGAATTGTTGGAACAACGACGGGTTGCGAGTGGTTCCGCACAATCACGAGAGATTCATGGCGATTTTCCAAAAGATCGGGAGAGTGGAACTACGATTTTTGGACTCTTTAACTTTTTAGGCGCATCGCTCGACTCTTTCATGCGATCGCTCGATTCGACCGATTTGAAATTCAGACTTGCGGCCTTTTCCCGAAGAGCGTCTTTTCGCCAGAAAGAAGGGGTGTTTCCCTACGATTATGTCAACGACGTGTGCAAATTGGGCGAAACGAGGTTACCGGCGCCCGAAGCGTTTTTCAGTCGCCTCACATACACACCCGTTTCGGACTCGGAGTACGCGCACGCGCAGGCCGTGTGGGACGCGTTCTCCGTTCAAAATTTTGGTACACCGATACACCGATTTGTATTTGAAAGTCAACGTCTTGTTAGAAACCGACGTTTTGGAAAAATTTCGAAATTTGTGTTTGAAGGTGTACGGGCTCGATCCTTTGTTTTACTACACCGCTTCCGGTCTTTCAAGGGACGCCATGTTGAAAACCCCCGGCGTTCGACTAGAGCTTCTCACGGACATCGGTATGGTTCTCTTTTTGGAACGAGGGGGACTCGTGCAATTGATCGGTCGTCACGCCGAGGCCAATCACCCCTTTGCGAATGACCGTTTTCCATCGGTTGAACATCGCAGAGGCGGCTGCTGAAATCGATTGTGGAATCGTTTTGGAGGTCGATCTCGACTATCCGGACGCGATCCACGATCGCTTGAGTGATTTACCGCGCTGTCCGGAAACCCGCGTCCACCCACTCGAAAAGCAGGTAAGTCGAGTTGCTGGCGACGCTTCTGCCCACGCGTCGTTACGTCATTAATATTCGAAATTTACTTCCGGCCCTCGAGTTTGGGGTACAACTTATAAAATCAATCAATGGAGGACTTGCGCAATGACCGGCGCGTTTGTCTTCTGAACAAGTGGGAGGGGAGGTTCAGGGCGAAACGCTTCATCGCTGATCCAGCCTTCGTTCGCAGCCATCACGTGAACGGCGATCTCATGACAATCGAGTTGCGTAAAATTAAGGTGAAGCTCGCAAAGCCCATTTATTTGGAATTTTGTATATTAGAAGTTTCCAAACATAGAATGTATGTTTTTTATAACTACTGTCAAAAACATCTTTGTGATCTTCATCTTCTTTACATGGATACCGATTCATTCATTCTTTCTACTTCCACGAGCGTGTGCCCTGAGATGAATCGGCATCAATCATGGTTCGATACTTCGTGTTTCGCCCCGATAACGAATTTGACGTGACACCGCGCACCTAATAAAAAGGAATTAGGGCTGTTTAAGGACGAATGCGGAAGCGATCCCCTGCTCGGCTACGTAGGTTTACGACCAAAAATGTACTCCATCGAAACCCGATTCTTCCTGGGCGAAGGGGGTAAAGCGTTCGGTAGTTAAAATTTATGAATTTCAAAATTATTTAGACTATTTATTTCGGAACGAAACTAGAATCGACAAGCAATGTGTCATTCGATCCAAGTCTCACATTAATTATTCGTTTGTGCAAAACAAGCGTTCGTTGTCCGTGTCCGACGACAAACACTATTGGATCGATAAATTTACAAGCCTGCCATGGGGTTACTTCCGCATCCTGTGTTCGCGTCTGTCCAATTATTCTTCTTCCGCGTGCACGCTCGTCCCTGCTGGCAGGGTGAGTTAGATTAGATATGATACTATTGCGTAATGTGTGGAGCAACAAGAGAGGTGACAACATCCACAGCAGCAACACCAGCAGCAGCCACCAAACAGACGCCCTTCTCGATCGTGTCAAGGTAGCTCGGAGCTAGCGTGCGCGCCCCCCCCCCCTCACAGGAAACGAGACTTCGCCTGGTTCGAATCAACCTCGCGCCGACGACCATTCTTTGAAAGCTCCGTTCCCCCCACACACACCCTCCATTCCCTTCCGCGCGACCGACACAAGATTCCGACCTTCGCCGCCAGGGCGCGCTCACACGCGGTTAACGCAACATCCTCTGACGACAGCCAAAAACATATAATGATCCGGGACCAGGATTTTTTCTTTTGTCCCCTCCACAGTATCCCTGTGAAGAAGAGGAATTTATTTTCTATGAATATTTTTTATAATACGCTGCTTCCTTACGGCTTAAGCAGCTACAGGCGGGGCTTTTTCTTACAACTAACTTACAATCTAGACCTAAAGTTATCTTAATTGCACTTTGGCATTACTAACTTACACTAAAATCATTTTTCTAGTTCTATTTTATATATTTTACGTAATTATTATTTTATATAGTTGGTAAATTGTTTTTTTTTCTACATTCACACATCATTCATACTAGTTTCATTATATACATAACCATTCATTCTTCCCATTCATCAAGTGCAGAAATGTGAAGTGCGAATGAATGAAACGGGACCAGGATGTGACGTCACAGGCAAGGTTATCTTATCAGCTGTGACCTCCACATCCTGGTCCCAGGTCACTATATTCTTGCTACTTTGGTGTGGAGGTAGGACACTGTCGTGGTCGGTAAACAAATGCAACGTCACACCTGCGCAGTCGTCCGCACAGACGAATTTCCAAAACTTGATTATCGGGTGCTCGTCGTTCTTGGCATACAGATACATATATGGGAACTTCAATCCTTGGGGTGTAGTGAGGAGAGTGGATGGTTAAGGTTTTCCGACACTGGCCAACAAGAAGAGCACGCACGCTGTCCGGAATGAGGGGATCATGACAACCCTCCGAATTAGGTGGTTTCTCAACTAATACCGGCATCACGTTATGAACCAGCAGGGAGTCCTTCTGGGAAAGGAAGTCCATTGTCGGCTAGGGCGGGCAGGGTCGAATGAAGATAGGGTCGGGCGATAGTATTTAATTAAATCCAAATCTCAACGGTTTAACTAGCTGTGTCGGCTGACGCTGCATTTGTGCTTGAACTCTCCTTGAAGTAAAGTATGTTTTCTGGTCGTTTTCCTTGTTTGGATATCACTTCCTTGGGCTTTTCCTCGTGTTCACCTGTGAGTATATAAGATACGTAGTAAAATTGAATATCAATTATATTGATATTAAATATCAATTTTATATCGTGCTATTCTTGGCATACAAAAAGAAATGTTAAAACCCAATTACTTGAAAGACAAACATTTTAAGCCGATCCGGTGGCCGAGATCGCTAAGGCAGTAGTGCCGTAGCGAACTCGGCCCGAAGGATCGCGGGTTCGAGTCCCGCCTCGGACATGGTTGTATTGTGTTTCGTTCTTTCACCCCCTATCATTATCATTATTGTGTCAACCCACAGTTACCATACCGTTACAAGCAATAGTGGTCGCTAATGACCTAGTAGTTGATGCTACCTTAAATAATAATAATAATACACAACATTTTAAATGTATGAAAATCTGCAATCATTTTGCACACAGGATGTTATAAACGATATTAAATTTTCTTGATATTTTTAAAAGAACAAAAATTATCATTAAAAATCGCACCTGAGCTGAAATGGGCAGTATGCAAGCCACTGAAAAATTTCATACAGCTACATCTGCTCATGTGGCAGCTGATGAACTACTCAGTCATAGGTACCTTTTAAAAAACAACTTCCCTAGGCACTTCAGTTGAATTTGATACAGGTTTTACTGAAAGTTCGCTCTCACTTACTGGAATGACATTCATAAATTTAAAAAGCTTATCTTTCCAGTAATTAGGTATAAAAAAAGATTTTTATTGTTGTATGTCAAGAATAGTACAATATAAAATTGATCTTTAATACATAATTTTACTACATATCTGATATATACTCTCAATATTTTACAAAATTTTTAGAAATGTTTATATGAGGGTAAAAAGAATTAAAAAATATAGGGGTGTTCACAAGTGGTCTTAGATTTTAAGAGTGCATTGTTGCAAAACAATCAGTTCGAATATTCAATGGTGTAGGCATCATGGACAACAATATTCCAAACTATTTTCAAATTTGAAGAAGTCATGTCATAAAATCAACTTTTTGCATGGAGTGACTTACTTATGAACTACGTTCATATTTTTGAAAGGAAAAGGGGTAATAGTGATATGTAAAAAGAAAGAAAGAAAACAATCAAAAAAATTGTCCTTTATATATATTAAGATCAATTATGAAAATTCTACATGTCAAATACATTTCTCTATTTTATTCAAAATACTTAAGTCATTCTAAGCCTTTCATCCTCTTGTTTCTTAAAAAATGTGCGTTTATTTCATCATTGTTTCAATGATAAATTATTTTGCTATTTGTAGAATGATCAGGTACATACAAGTTCTAGAGACAGACCTACACAGTCACGAAGAATATACGTTCTGTATTGTAGGCATTCTACTTTACATTAAATATAATGCTTTTGAAAGACGGGGCACAAATTTTAAAAATTTGTGCAACAAATTTCCACATGAACTCTCTTTTGAGAATAAATTACAAAAATTTCTTTTAAATACAAAAGGTCATGTTATTGCTTGCTTCAATTGTAAATGTGGAGTTTTGAAGCAGTGATGATTCAATAGCTCTTTAGCTGTTGGGCGTAGTTCAGACTGCACTTGCAGACACTGAAGAGCAAGATCTTTAGTGGCAGGACCCAATGAATCTGGAATGAATGGGGGATCCTTGCTTGATGCTATCTGAAAATGAAAAGGGTTACAGGTCTCAAAAAATTAATATAGGTATTTCTATTTCATTTCATTTAATATTAAAATACTGAAGTTAATTAATTCTAGTACTAGCAAATAAGAAAATGAAATAAATGCAAGAAAAATGATGTTACACAAATACACAAAGAAATTTCATAAACATCATGGGACTTTAAGGTATAGTACAAAACACTTTAGTACTCTTACTTTGATTATAGCCATACTTTTAACATTCAAGACTGTTTTGAAGATATCATTTCAGATTTTTATTTTAAAAACATCTTGTGCTACTTGGTACAAATTTCAATTAATTTTAAAGAATTTGTCACAAAGAATACTGAAGTCAAGCATAGCAAAAAGAAGACAAAAACCTGCAAATTCATATAGTATGAGATAGAAAATGGTAAAGAAAGGTTGATCAGAATATCAACAATTTATTCTTACTTTGTACATAAGTGCCAAATGATTTGACATTTGATTTTCCTTCCAAGGTGCTTTGGTTGTTGCCATTTCTATCATACAACATCCAACACTCCAAATGTCGCAAGAGCGACCATAATTCTCTCCTCTGAGAACTTCAGGAGCCATAAAGGCAATAGTGCCAAGTAGTTGTCCCTGAAATTCTCCAGGTACTGTTCCATGTGATTCCAAACAAGCTGCAGCTCCAAAGTCCCCTATTCTGAGTTGTTTGCCTGTACTATCAACTAATAGATTTGCACCTAAAACATTTATCAAAATATATATTGTTCCGCATTAAAAAGAATAAAAATATTCATACCAACATCAAGATAACAGGTATAAAAATGTGATGTACCTTTCAGGTCTCGGTGCAAAATATGATTTTCATGAAGATAATTCAACCCTTCTAAAACTTGCTTTATGTATTCTACGATGACACACTCATTAAAAGGGCCATAACTTTCCAATAAAGCTGCAACAGATCCTCCAGCCATCCACTCTACAAAAATATTAAAATGATTCCCTTCTCTGGTTGCTCCCAATATTGTCAATACATTAGGATGTCGAAGCCTTGACATAGTCATGATTTCTTTCCGAATTCCGGTTTCAACAGTCTCTTGTTCCTCCTCTGAATTTCTACAGTATGGCACCTGAAAAACAGATTGGTCATGGTTGTTTATAATGATTTAAGGAACCTATGAAAATTTATTCATAAAATATCAATTTAAACATATTTTTATTTCCATCTTATTTCCATTCCCTATTACCCTAATTATTGCCTAATGCTGAGAAATCACTAGGTTTTTTAGTCCAAATATAAATTCAATTTCTATTTCATGGTGGAAATTTTGAATAGAAAGTAGTTATTATTTAATGATTTCATGATAAGACATCAACAATATATTGCATTTTATAATTTCATAAATATATTTTGCAATGGATTAATTTTTTCATGCTCCCATTCAAAAATTTAATTTTTTTTTTTTTTCAAAGAAATTGGAAGTTGAAAACTTTAGTAAAATTTCAAAATCATACTTAAACGATCTGGTCACAACTTAGAAATTCACACACATTTTCACATAAAGTGTGAACATCTCCTTGAAGAAATGAGAAAATGGCAAATAAAATAATTGCTGCAAAAGGATCTACTAAATAACTTCTGTGAAATAGTAAATAGTGAACTAAAAATCAATGATGTTCTTGAGTGAGAAAGAAAAAAGCAAACTTATTTAACATTTAGTTCCTCAAAAAGTACAAATGAAGTTAATGATTTGCAATCCTTTCTTTATTTTAGATAAGAGATGGGCAAGATATATAAAACACATTAATTATAAAAATTGTCCAAACTTTAAATGGAAATAATTTAATAGCAATTTAACTCATTTTAATTGATGGCATTTTATAAAATTGAACAGTTTTTAAGTTGTGCTCATTTGTGCATAAGCATTTATTTTCTATGAAGGTCATTTTTCTACAACATCCGATGAAGCTGTAAATAAACACTAACAAGGAGAACTTGGGAATGTACAGTGGGTGATTGTGCATCTCTTCCACCATAACCTCTGCTAATATCAATGCCATATTACTAATTTGAGTTGAGCTGTAGATGTGTGAAAATTGCTGGTATAATTGGCACTCATGTGGAAACAATGCACCAGAAATTCACTAAAGAACGAGCCAAGTACACAGTGTAATCCTTCAAACAAAAAAAGAGGAATGCTGGCTTAGGGAGATGTCATTCATGAGAATGCTACTCACAGTGCTCCTGTTACCAATCATCTAAGGCAGATGGAATGTGCTTAGGAGGTTGATTTTTATCTCTTTCTCAAATTGAAAAATTGACTAGGAAGCCAGAATTTCCAGATCAATTAGCCAAAATAAAAATAAAAAAAAAACAACAAAAAAACACTCTGGTAATTTCTCCCCTCATTCTGTAACATCAACAGAAGTGATATTTACCTGTTTCACAGCCATAAGTGTCCCAGTCTCCATATCACATGCCTGATAACAAACGCTGTATGCCCCTGTACCCAGCATAGGTCCACGTTTCCAATGGAAATCTTCAATATATGACTTATTGTTGAACACACCCTCCACATTCTATAAAAGATATAAAAAATAAACTGAATTAAAATAACTGAACCCAGAATTATTATTATTATTATTACACAAGCCATTAAATTAAATTATAAATAACTACATTTTATGCTGCAAAACTCACTTTAAGAGGTACTAACCTTATTATCCATGGAGTCTTTAATTGGCCTCACCAAAGTTTCCACATTCAACATTTCTGGAGTTGGAACAGGGGTAGGAGCAGTTGAGTTACTTTCGCATATTTGTAAAGAATTATCGTGAGATAGTTCCAGAGTAGGTGTGACATCAAATTTTTCACTTGGAAGTCTTTCATTTGAAGAATTTGATATACATCCCATAACTCTAGTAAAGAAACTTATGTTATCTTCATCTCCAGGAGACTGACACGAACAATTTTCAGAAGGAGATGTAGGAGTTTCTACAGTTCCATGACCACAATCAAGTCCACAATGTCCAGATGTATCAGATTTACTTGAGGGAAGTAATTCAGTCTTTTTATTTCTTGAAAATAAATTGGAGAATTTTGAACTAGAATTTATCCACCGTTTAGTTGATGGAGTCGAGAAAGGATGGCTGTTAGATAACTGCTGACACTTCGACACCTTCTTGTTCTTACAAACAGAATCTAAAGCAAGGTCTTTTGGACGCATTGGCAATGTTCCTTTGGAATTTACTTGTGAATTTACCTGGAGATCAACTTTATTGTGCGTTGTGTGACTGATGCTGGCTTCTTGAGGATAATAATAAGTCTTTGATTTTTTTTGAAACCCTTGATTCTGCATTTGTCTTTCAATGGCTGCTTGCAGTCGTTTTTTCAGTCTTGATTGCAAACCTGAATCCAGCTCAGATATCATATCCAAAATTTGATTTAGCATTCCCTTCTCTGCAGTAGTCATACTTGAGGACAATACAAATACATGCCTTGCTAATTTGCTGACAGTACTGTGGGGGCTTTGTAAAGCTTTAAAAGAAAATTCAATAACTGAGAAAAGTCTATTGAAATTATTTAGCTTGTAGCCTGATTCATTTGCATAAAGTGGTACATATCTTAAGCAAAATTCATCTGGAAATATATGAAGTAATGTACTCAACATTAGCAATCGACCTGCTAACCACTGCCAATTAACAGATTCTAATGAAAAATGTTCCAACACACAACTTAATACTAATTCAAGTCCATTTATTCCCCAGAGATGGGTTTCATTAGAAGAATTGCTTCCTGTCAAATCCCTGTTTTGGTTTCTGGCAATTTCTATAAGAACTTCTGCACTGAGATGGCTTGTTCGATGATTTCGATCTGCACACTTCTTCAGCAAACCTTTTATAACAGGTCGCAACAAATTCTGAAATTCTTCCAAGTGGCATGCACTACGACATGATACACACTTGATAAGTACTCTAAAGCAGCGCTGAAACAAACATTTAATAATAATAATAATAATAATAATAATAATAATAATAATAATAATAATAATAATAATAATTAGACATAAAAATAATCTACAGCCCATTTTTAACATCATATATTTTGTATTTGAAACATCTCAGCAACTACTTTCTTTTCAACAAATACTGAAACAAACTTTAAATTCATGTTTGAAAATAACTAGAAAAATAAATCCAACTGTACACCAGTAATTCAATTTCAGAATATAAGATACTTACTATGCATGCCAAGTAAACTTTGAATACTGGATCCCCCACAACCATAGCGAGAATTTTGGCACAGCACCAAGCAACTTTCTGTTGCTTTTCCTTATCATCACATTGATAAGCAGTAATTAAACAATTAACAAGGCCTCTCATTGCCATTTCTCGCTCTTTCCAATCTCTTGAGTAAAGACACATAACTAAATCCATTCCAAATACCTAGAAATACACCAGTTAATAGTAAATTTTAAGTTTAACATTTTTATAATGTACCAGTTTATGTTGATATTCAAAAAATACCTTAATCCATTCTGATGCCATTATAATATGTTCAGGAGGAATTGGGCCAGCGTGAGAATGAGGTAAATCTGACTGGAGTGAACACGTTTTAGCACAAAATTGTAAGGGTCGATGAATGTCACAAGGTGAGTTATTACTAGGAGAACTAGTCTGTTTCCAGTTTTCTGAAACACATTCTTGATGGAATTCTGATTTGTTGAGAGGAAGATATTGAGGTCTTTTGGCTGGTTTTTGTGAACTGGTTGGTGTTCTCACACCAGTTTTTTGAGAAATTGGAGACAATATAGGACCTGGACCAGGACCAGGTCCTGGCAAATGTTGGAAGCAGGTAGAACCAATTACTTCCCAAGGTAGTTGTACAGATGAATGTTCCTTAGAAGGAGAGGGTATGCCAGGCACCCTCTTAGGAGAATGTTTCTCTAGCCTCAACATTAAATGTATTGCCTTTAGAGGAATAGTATCATCAAGCCATGGTTGACGACACAAGGGGCAAAGAACATTTTCACCTTGGTAATTGCATTCAATAGCCCCTGAAAAAAAAGAAAATTATTTTGTTACTTAATAATGAATTTTGAGAAAATTATTAACCAAAGGAAAAAATTCTATAAACATACAAACAGCCATGCAGTGCAGGTGCAATTTGTTTCGGCATCCCGACTTGCATACAACAAGACTTTCCCCATCTACCATTTCCAAAAGACAAATTGGACATAATTCTTCTTCATTGGACCTACCAAAAAGACACATAGATCAATAAAATGCAATGTTATGTTAATTCTCATCCATCATATAATCAGAGTTAAGCTAGTTCAATATTGAACTGTTATGATAGTTAGCATTTGTTCTTGAAATATTAGTATTAGATTCATAACTGAGATGGTGTAATTAGAATTAAATCCTTTTTTTATCACAGATTATGTTTAGAGCACATCAAAAATATTTTGTTATTGCATTTATAGAGTTTGTGAATATATGAAGAGCACAGGGGAAAAAATTGAGGTTCCATTTTTTGTGAAATTTCAACTATTGATCTTAAAGGTTTTCATTCATTGGCATTATGTAGTGTAAAGATGTGTTAAAAATGGAAAGAAAGATGAGGGTAGTTTTATAGCAATGTTCAGAATTATTTGTAGCTGTTATGGCATATTATAATACTAGTTAAACCCACAAAAGCATTTCCAATCAGAAAAAACTATTTGGCATAACAAGGGTGCGAATTAGTGAGAGAGATGGCGGGGATCATCCCCTCCTAGGGAATTTGATGTCCCCTGATGGAAAATAATTAATTTCTTCTTGCCAGGTATCCAATTAATCCACACCAGATGCCTTGTTTATGATTTCCATACGTTGCAATGTTCAAATCAAGGAAACTGAACAAGAAAACATTCCCAAGAGTATTCTCAGGATTCATTCAGTGTTGTATGAATTTGGTCTTCTCTCCTTAATTTTAATTCATTGGATTTATCCCTTTTTGAAGTTTTGAATATCCCCTCTAGAGAAAATTTCTAACATGCAGCCTTGGCAGGGCTGGAATACAAACCTAAGCACCCAGGTTATGTAAAGGACATTACTGACTGATTGAGGCACAAGGCTGCCTCTCAAGCCCTAGTCAAAGTATTTTTTAAAAAATTTTGAACATAAAATTAGATTTGTACAATTTGTATATGCATAAGCCTACTTTGCTTTATTCACACACACACACACACACACACACACACACACACACACACACAAAATAAATAAATAAAGAAAGAAAGAAAGAAAAGAAAAGCACTTTTAGAAACATTTTTTAATTTGTTGGGGCTTCATGTAAAGTAATTGATAGTTATTTATTCATTACATTATAAATATATAAATTTAGTACCAAATTCTCATAAAACTTACTTGTTTTCTACTGTAGGAGGAGAGTCTATGCCATTTTGTCCACATTCATCTTGAGCAACTGGTGACTGCTGAAGGATCTTAGATAGTGAACAATCTTTCTGACTCTCATCAGGCATTGCATGAACCCTTGAGTTACGGCGCTGTTGATAATGCTGAAATAAACTTTCAACCTGAAATCAAAAAGTGAAAGTAATATAACAAATAGAGCCTGAAGTAGGAATCAAATTAAATAATGCATTTAACACAAATGAAAATCAAAAACTTAATTTACCTCATAATTTTTTAATTCTTTAGTATATATTTTAGAATCATTTTCAGGTACTTGAAACACCCTGAGCATGACAAAAAGAAGATGAAGGCAAAATGGCCCACGTCCACAGCTACAAGTCTGAAAGAAAAAAATTGGAAATAATTACTGGGCATATCTGAACAAATAATATCAGAGAGTCATGGAGTTTCATAGAAAGATTTGAATACACATGTGAAGGAGGGAAGACCAGGACTAAGAATATTGCTTTTCTTCAGTTGCAATTTTCATAAAGAGAATAAAAGATTTTAATGACATAATTTATGTCAATCTTTAGAATGATTCATTGGCTACATTATTCAGCTAATCATATGAACATGTATTGTAATTTCTGACAACACCCAGCTGAAAATTCTGCCAAAAACACCGGAGAAAACCTGCCAAAAACACTGGGAACAAAAATGGGTAGGGAAGGAAGCATCATGTACAGTCCATAACCCTAATTCTAGGAACCTGCTCTGGCATTCATCAAAAAGTGATCACGAACAATGATCAGAGCAGTTGGCCTACGAATTAATTTCTCACAGATGCTGCAAACTAACCTATGTTAAACATATCAAATAAATTTTTGGCATTTAACTGAGATTGAACCCAAGACCTCCCAATCACTGGTACACTCAAGCTCAAACGTGTTGGGCATGCTTTTTTACATTTGCTGATACTGGGATTGATTAATATTATTAAGGTAAGGCCATAAAAATAAATCTCCTTGAAATACAGTTGAAAAGAGGGGGGGAGTGATTATTCACATAGCGTAGTTCATGAAAACAAAACATATTTGCACAAATTAAATTCAGAGTTGTTGCTTATTGGGCCTGTATTTCTGCAATATAATCTAACTGTTTTTGTTCAGTTCATTCTCAGTATTGCCACTTTTACCATACACTATTGCAATGGCCACTTTCTTCATCAAACACTTCCTAAACTTAGGGAGGAGAAGGGGTTTCCATATATGGGATTCTAATCAATACCGTGATGACTGTTCATTGAAATTGATAATATTAAAGTAAATACATAATAAAAGTTGTATAAATATTTTGAAATATCACTTCATTGAATACCAGTTTTGTTTTCCATCATAATATTTTATATTAACACAAATTCCAAAAAGAGGAAAAAAGAGAGGAGGTTTGAACAGATGTTTTTCAAAGACCTTTAATCAATCTCTTTTACCATTTATCTAAATTCTGGTTCCGGTCCATTTCCAATTCAAGAATTACTAATAAACCAGTAAATCTGTGCAAAATTGTCATTGCAGGCACAGGAGCTCAACAGGCTGCTGTCTGTGCACTATCACCGGATGAAATGAAAATGCGCTTCCTTCATTCCGAACACCTGCACTCTACAGGGCAGAGTTGGGAGAGCCTGACTCTATCAAGCTGGGGCCCCCACATTCAAAAATTGAAAATAAACTAGCCTAAGCTTGTGCATTAATTATGTACTAAAAAACTTCAGCAATAAAAAGTGAGATGCCAATGTGGGTATCTTGATATATAGTGAACAGCCTAATTCTTAAAAATTATGAAACAAATATACTTTAATAATGTACTAATTATTTACTAATTTGGTTCCAAAATAAAGGAAGGTACTCAATTATAAATAGTCTTTAAAAAAACAGGTGCAAAAGTAGGGGAGGGGTGTAATTGAAGTACAGCTAGTAACCCCACTTGTCAAAAATGAAAAAACAAACATGAGATAATAAAGCACTAACAATTTCCTACCAAAATAAAATGCTTTGTACTCAATTACAAACAATTCAAAAGTGGGAGAGCAAATGTTAGTGCCTAGTTGACTTACAGTAGCAATTCCTCATCTCAATGGAAAAATCCAGATACTATAATAACACACTAATTGTGCACTAATTTTGTTCCAAAATAAAATACATTGTACACTATTATAAATAATTATTAAAACTATTACAGCTCTCTAATTGACCATTAATATTTGTAAAATTAAATAAATCAAAATTCATCTATTACAAAATGAAAAATATATTTTGTAATAGTAATATAAACCAATGAATATTTTATACTACTCTTTAACAACACAAAAAATTGTAATTCTGTTCATGTGAGTCACCAGTGTACATACACCAGTTTACATAAATAACCTCCATTACATTATGATGAAGGAGAAGGGCGATAAGACAGAAAATGACAGAGAAGGAGACAACCGATGAGGAGATTGAGGAGGAACTAGAGATGGAGGATACTGAGTTGGAGAAAGAGTAGAAGACAGAGAAGGAGGTGTACTTGGTGAAGGAGAAAAAGACTGAAGGAGTCAGATATAGAAAGGGGAAAGGTGACAGATGGAAAATGGGAAGGAGATGAAGAAGGAGAAAGTATTTTGTACTTATAAAATGAGAGGTTTAGAGCAAAAGGGATGTAAGTGCCCTAAATGTGGTATTGAGAAAATCGAGTTCAAGGTTGAGTGACTATAGAGAACGTGACAGAAAACATTTTCTTTCCACTACTAGAACACAGCAACTGTTTGAGCTACTGGAATACCTTTTGTTTAATTGAACTTTCATTTGATATGTTTGAGCGTGTGAACTATACCAAGTATATTTTCTCCATATTTTCTTAAAATTTTTACGTTAGTGAACAATGTATTTAACTTTGGTACAAAATTAGCGTATTACTATAGGAAATTTGGTTTTCTTATATTTGAGATGTGGAATTGCTACCTGGTCAATGTAAACCTGGTCAATTTTGCTATCTCCAACATTTTAATTGTTTACAATCAAGCTCAAAATATTTTATTTTGGTAGAAAATTACTACATTCTGCATTGTTAGTGTATTTCCTTGTTTTTTAACTTTTGACAAGTGAGGTTACTAGGTACACACCAAGTAGACACTCCTATTTTGGCATCTCGTCTTTTAATTATTTATAATTGAGTACAACTTTTTATTTTGAGATGAAATTGGTACATACTTAGTACAAAATTATAGGCTCATTGCCATTGAATTTTTGAGAAGCTATTGATTTTGGTGCTAGTGTGGAAGAGGTGAAAGCCTGGCATTCTTCTGACTGACTTAGGACTGACATTCGGTTGCTGACATGGTCCCATTGCGACTACGCAAACTATGTGTGTGTAATTTGGTAAATGTTCTTTTAACTTACTAAATGTTCAAATATGTGCATTAATGTAAAGTTAGTGTGCTTTCACTGAAGTCAGTAAAAATATCCTGTAGACTTTGCATTCTCTAAGAAAAAATTGTGTTGACAACATAAATAATATATGTGATAAGTTAATACAAGTGACAATTACCTGTGGTCCAATAACAACTTTGTATTTATGTTCAGGAGAATCTCCACCCACAAGAAAGGAGTTTGGTCCTGGCTGTTGAAGTAAATACAACCGAGCCTTCTGAACCCGTCGTACACGCCTTTTAACAGCTTCCAAAACAGCAGGATCCAATGCACTTGGACTTGGAGGGCGACGATTTGTTCCATTTCCTGGACTTGAAGGTCGCTGTAAAATTAAAAGTGAATTAATTTGGACTATTCATTACATTTAAAAAGTCTTTCAACTTCCATGTTAGCTGTTGCAATCTAATTTAATAATAGTTCTGACAATAATGAATTCAGCAATTTTCATAGCAATGTAAGAGGATTACCAGTCACAAAAGAGGTTTGAACTCAATTAAGGAAAACTAACACATTTGAAAAATTATTAATTTCATGAGGCCATGTGGGCTTCCCATTCAAAATTAGCAAATTTAAAATATACCATTGTAGCCGAGTGACCATTCTGCACTTCATTATACAATTGTTTTAAAAGTTAAAATATCTTCATACTGGAACCCTACTTTGAACAGCCAAGCCTGAAGTTCCATTATGAATGCCCAGTAGTTTACTTTTCTTGAGTAAACATTCTAATACCAATATGCTGTATTTCACAACCACAAGACGATAAACAGTAAGTTGTTAATGGTTAATAGTAAGGTAAATAATATAACAATTTGTTTAGTTCACCAATGCTTCAATGTTTATTACTTCATTTTCAGGGTACTATTGGAATAAAAACTAGTGGAGCTATGAGAGCACTTACCTTCTCATATTATCTGTAATGGCTAGACAATATTATAATACTACTTGAAGTTGCAAAAATGTTTACAACCCGCAATTTCTTTTTTCAAAACAGAGGTTCTTATGTTTACCATTCACAATACCCCTACACCACCATTGCTTTAAAAATATTTTTTATGGAAAATAATTTTTATCATCAATATACATATTTTCGAAAAATTGTTTATGTTCTTATTTTAAGATCTGTCTGTGAACAAAATATTTAATTCAGGGGGGGGGGACAACTCATTTTCAATATTGTAGTTGTAGGAAGACGCCGAAAAGAGTTTGAAATTTTGATATTCTCGAATAATGAGAGATTTCAACGAAAATGAGACCTTCCCCATTCTTTTAAGCGTTCTTAACGGTATCCGTGGACAAAGTTTAATCTACAAATTTGGACTAATTTTTGAGAAAATGTTTGAAAATTTAATTGAGGCTTCATGTAAATTATTCCCAAAAAAATCAAATATCCGTTTCAAACTCGCTGGGTCTCGACTTCGTTCGGATCGATCGCGGAATATCAATTTTGGAGAAAATCTTGCGAACGGTGTAGGCGCTAGAGATGGACTGACATTTTGCCGTCTACCAAATTTTTTGTATGAAAGGTCCACAAAACTTAGAATCTGAATTTATTTGTTACAAGGAGTAATTTACTTCATATATGAACAATATTTATCCAGTTTCCGATATCAGCGCCCTACAATACGAGTTTTGTCCTGACAAAAATCGTCATTTTCCGCTGCAGTATTACAATACAATAATTCGATACATAATATTTACTATGGTAATGCTATGGTAAGGCGCGACAAAGTAAAAAATTGAAGGTACCTAATTCAATTTGTAACGTTTCGTACAAATTTAAATTTTCATCTGGGAATTTTCTGAATTCAGCCAGAGGAACCCGATTTTCTCCCGGATACATTAATTAAAAAAATAAATATATTTTCTAATATCAATTCTATCATACACTGTAAAGACACATTCTAACTTTCTATATTCACTTAGTCGGTGGACGCCTCACGGAATGGATAAATATTTGATACCTTAGTTGCGTCTCTCCCTGACGACAATAAATTTATTATTTAAATACTTCGCCAAAATACTTTATAAATAAGTATTTAAATATATACACAAAATATATTGGGACTTCAAAAATATATTAAAATACTTCAAATACTCAAAATAATATAAATATATAATAATTTTTATTATATACTTTTAATTCAAGAATATATTGTTATTGTCAATTACTGTAAATTAGTAATTAATAGTCATACAAATTTCTGAACAATAACTATTTTAATGTATTGTAACAATATGTATAAACATTTTCAAATATACAATGATATCAAAAATATGTCTAACACAAAGAAATAGAATTTCCTTTTAAAACGGTCATTTTTTTCAAACAAATCATCAGACAAATAACTCCTAGGTGACAAATGTACAAAACCTGCACAGCAAAAATTGCCACCTGCAAAGGAAAAATTGCTATTTATGACGAGGTTTTACTCTTCTTTAATATTCTTAAAGTAATATTTCGGTTCTACTATTAGGAAACGAAAACATAGAGAAAATGTCAAAAAATGTACTTTGGGCGGCGATAGATGGCAGCTGGCAAGAGGATGGGACAAGACCGTAAAGCCAGTCCACGCCAAGAAAATTGGACAACTGTACTACGAGAAAGTCTGTGCTATTGTGTAGCGCCACTCGTTTTTTACTGTCGGATAATTATCCAGCATTTTTGATGATTTAGATTTATCATTTAAAAATTAAGAGAATCCAAATTCAACAGCTTAAAGGAGCTTTTATTTTTGTTTCAATGAGGTGCATTCACTAGCGTAATCAAACAAAAAGAAATAATCCTCGTTCTAAACTATCTTCTTCGTCTGTATTAAAAGTATTTTAAGTATTTCTATTTTTTTTAAAAAAAACGTATATATTGTACTTTAATACACTTTATATATTTTAATACATCTCTAAAATACATGCCCCAAACCTCAAAAATACAGTTTTTCAAATACGAGTATTTAAATACTGCCCAACTCTGTCAATAGATTAATCTCCCCCAAGTTCACGGGGGTTACAAACGAACATTCCACATTGCTTTACCAACATCATGTTTTTTATTCATGCTTGTCGAGTTCTTTGTTATTCAACTGTTTTTGTATGGTAAAAATATCTGGCCCGAGTTTAGGAAAAAGTGTGGCGTTGTATTACATCATTATCAGCATTGATGTGTGTGTGTGTTCAGAGGAATACAAAATACATGCATTGAAATATGTTAACACGGAAGTATTTTATGCAAATGAAGTGTTACTTAATGCATACTTTACACAAATGGAGTCGCGTACACAAAGTGTCTAAAGTGAGAGTATTACGTTATTACGTCTAATACGACAAAACGTACTAAAATATACGAAAAAATATTTAAATATAAAATAGATTAGAATTTACTTACTGAACGGCTTAAACTTGGAGACCTCTTCCTAGTGTGGTTACTTTCTGTGCCAGATGCAGCTCTAGAAAGAGTGGATGCTGTTCTGCTCATGTTCTGCAAAATAATATAATTACAAGCTAGTTAAAGTTTTATTATATCTACTAAGTCAATCTCTAAAAATGTATCGTGGATATTTTCCATTTTTACAAAATAAACAAGAAACAAAGCGAAATTTATAAAAGGTTGACGTTTGAAAATTTTTTCCAATATGATGAATGAATAAGCGATGTCTCATTTTACTGCTGAATTGGGGTAAATGGAGAAAACCCATCCTTTTTTTAAAATAAGGTTTTTGTCGGCTAGTACATAGTTCATTTTATGACTAACACTGACCTATATATCAACTATGTTCATGATTATGATTCAATGAAAGACTCTCGAACTTACGGCACTTAAAGTTGAAAATCTTGAGAGAGCAAATGGACCGTCTTGCAACACTATACCACAATATATTCCATAGATATCGTAGCAATCTCTCTTCACTTCCTTGCATTTATAAAGACTTGCTCTCTCCCAACTCGAGAGCATTACCATTATTTACTGGTGTTTGCAACTTATGCTTCGCGATAAAGATTTAAAGGAAATTTGAAAATTTGCGGGATTGAAATGAACTAAAGAAATTGTCAAATAATCATAAAATGACTTTAAAAAGTAAACTGGTTTTTTTAGAACGACCAGTTTCCCAACATTGTCTTACAAAAAGGTGGTGACTCCACCTGCTTCATTTGAAAAGACAAAAATGGAGCCGAAAAATCAAATGAATTTCGTGCTAGGAAAAGTATAAACATTCATTGCAGGGGCAATAATTGCTGTTTAATCTACAGTATAATCTCGCAATAAATATCTAATGTATAACGAAAAACTAGAAACAACGATTTGGTTTGGTAGATTTACATTATAGCCCATACATTGGTATTCTTCATTTAACAAAAAATTATAGCGAAATAATTTTTCCTTTAAATTTCGTTTTACAAACTACACTCTATATATTTTTTAAATTCAATATTCAAAGACATCAGCCCTTAAATCACGGAATGATGTCTACTTTAGAATAAAAGGCAGTGCTGATATTAATCCAAGATAGGATTTGCACTCTTGTGATTCAGGGGCAAATTACATTCGGATTTGGACAACCTAAAAATTAGTAGGGAAAATGCCTGTACAAAACATTTAAGTAACAGTCTATCGCGTGCGGCCCTACCATGGAAACACGAGCTGAAGATAGCACGCGCTGCATACATGTTTCATTAAATGAATACAGAAGGCGCAGTAATGTGCTAAGTCAAGAGCCCCGTAAATTTCCCTGCCTCAGTGTTAAGAAGAGGGTCTGCGCCAGCAGCATCCTGGGCCTCGACAGCACGCAGCATTTTCAGAAGCTGCCGCGAGCGAAACTCATCGGAAACGTTTTTACTCTGTAAACACCCAATCAGTACGTCTTGTAGGTGCATTGCCAGCAATAATGTTCCCGGCAAAACGTACTTCAGCGGCCACTTAAGTTGAGAGAACCATTGTCCCAACTGAAAGTGACTCAGTGGCGCGTAGCATGATTAGTTTCTCTGGGCAGACTCCTAACCCGAATTTATGCATTTACCCCAAACACTAACTTGAGCTAAACGCGATTAACTAATGCTAATATCCCACCTGGAAGGTCGGAAAAGCTCAATTCTTTTGAATTTCTTCAGTTGGATGGTTCTGATATAAAATAGTATAAGACCGGTATTCCAATACGTCGTACACGTAGGCTTCCGCGGCTCGAGTCCATTACTTCTAGGCTGTCCGGGTGACGCCGCGTCGTTGGCAGATAGGCCGACGTTTCGCCTGTCATGTCGCAGGCTTCTTCAGGGTACTGACATGGTAAAGCTCCGCCTCCGGTGTTATATCTTATTCAGCTAGTGGTCGGGCAACGCAAGTGCGCCGTGATTGGGTGCGAGGCCCGGGTTGGCCCAGACCGCGAGCCAATCAGAGGGACCTCTCCGCCAATCACGGCGCACTTGCGTTGCCCGACCACTAGCTGAATAAGATATAACACCGGAGGCGGAGCTTTACCATGTCAGTACCCTGAAGAAGCCTGCGACATGACAGGCGAAACGTCGGCCTATCTGCCAACGACGCGGCGTCACCCGGACAGCCTAGAAGTAATTCCAATACGTCCACGCCAATACTAACAAACTCTTCTGAGCAATAGCTCAGCTAGTTCCTCCCCTCTCTGTCTCTCGTGTGCGGCTCACATGTTCAGCGTTCCTGTTTTGTTTTTTCATTATTGGTTCTTCTCTGCTTAGAGATTTCCTCCATCCATGCTGCTCCGTGTCTCTAGAATTTTGGATACATTCTGCCAGTGCTTGGCTTCTCGCTATGAACTATCTCGTCTTTCTGCTGAAATCCTCAGCGACCAGATCTGCGATCCAGATGTCAACACCCTTGGCGAGGATGCGCGGTTGCGTCAGTGTGCGATTATCTGACAGAGTTGTTGTTAGTGATCCAGGTTGTTCAATTCTATTTACGTCCTGGTTGTTATTCCAGCAGAGTCTTATCACCGACCCATGTGTCTGTCGTCCGACTGGATGAGATTACCACCGTTGAGCTTAATTCTGAAACGCTTACGAACTGTTTGAATTCCGAATGGCGCAGGTCCTAAATTGTTGTAAGCCGCAGATACCTGCGGCTTATTGTAGGCCATCTTCTAGGATTGATTGATTGTTGAGTTATTCTGGGCGAGTCAATTGCTACGGTCATTAGTCCTGTAAGTGTAGTGCATCTCGCGGGAGGTGGCAATGATCTTCCCTGCTGGATGGCGAGATCCCAGCCGAGACAAGCTCTAAGCTCCCGACCTCTGACTCCCGTCATGTACATGTAAGTGTATAGTGTACATAAGTGTATGTAAGTAAGGGGTGAGGATAGAACAAGGAGGAAGAAGGTAAGATCGCGGTCCGTGGCCCGTTTGTTAGGCTACTGCTTCGGCATTAGCTTGTTGTTGATGGGAGAAACCACGGAAAACTACCGATTTCAGCAGCTGGCCACTAGAATCCCAGACAGCGACTGAACTCGACCTACCTATTTAGCTAGTGTCGAAAATCCTGCCACAGTCAGGACTCGAATTTAGGACCTCCCGACCAGAGGCACTGCAGTGGCATCAATTGATGCCTTGCGCCACCTCTCCCGAACCGACTGGTCTCTCTTCATGTGTGTGGTAATGTAGTGCATGTAAATTTAAGTGTATGTAAATAAGGGGTGAAGACAGGACAATGAAGAGAAAGGAAAGATCACGTGCGATCCGCGGCCCGTTTCTTAGAGTCCTGCTACGGCAGTCGTCTTGTGTTGATCGTAGAATATACGGAAATCTACCGATCAAACCAGCCGGCGGCTTGAATTCTTCTCCAGGCTGCGGCTGAATTTGACCCAACTATCTAGACAATGTCAAAAATCCGTCGGGATTCTCACCCCACGACCTTCCGATCAGGGCATTGCAGTGACATCAACTGATGTCCTAAGCCGCTCAAGTCTACCTCCTTGGACATTACTGTATTTGCTGGCAGTTTGATATTAGAGGTGTTGGTGATTCTACTTGGGTGGGTACTAGGTGTGACACAGTCAACTAAAATGGCGAACTCCATTGCAATGTAACTAATACAAAACAAGTACTGTTTAAAAGCGACCCAATTTCCCATTCAGATTTTCCTTTCCACTTGAGATCATACATGTAGAGCATGGGGGATTTTAAGTAGAATTTGATATTCCACTCGAGCCGGGTCGTCTCTAGGGCCATTGCGAGGAGTTAATTCTGCAACAAAGAGTAGCGGAGAAAGCGAATGTCTTTGGAGCATCCGTCGACATCTCCTGACATTTCCAAAGGGGTGCCCTTTGGTAAAAATGCGCATGTATCACGGCGACATGCATACTTTTAGCAATTTTATGATTTTCTGAAGTTGGTATTCTAATGCACATGACACACCTTGAAATCACATACGCGACATCTGGGAAGATATATTTTTATCTTTTATAGAGAAAGTCTTACGAGTGGAAATGCTAATATAAAGTTATTGTATCATCACCTAAGAATATCTTACATTTTTGCTGTTTTAGACTTGACGTATTATGACCACATCTTTCAATTTTGACACTAACTTCATTTTCGGAGCAATCACAATGGGAATTTAAAAAAATCTTCATATTCATATGTCATGAATGCAAATTGTGTCATACGTGCAAACTATCAGTACCAATACGACCATGACGATGAAAAGCTTAACTCAAAGTACTTAAGCGTAACTTAAAGTACACAATGGCGAGCGTGACGATTTGTAAAATACTACATAGCTTGCACTATTCCTGCAACTTCCACAATAGTTGTCTCTGAAGCGGGCACGCCGTAGTCATATTCTTCTGTTAACCATCTTTACAGTTATTTTGTGTCTACAGTACCGTACTATTCGTACGCTATTCACGTTTATAAACAGTAGTAAGGTGAATTTATTTCCTTTTTCATCGTAGAAAATGTTTCCATATAGCACTCGAAACACCAGCTAAAAAACTACACCTTGATCTTCAAGATTACAAAAACAGTAAAACTACTAAATTGTTATGTAATAAAAAAATGATTTGAAAATGTTCTAACTAAATGACAAGTAGGTGAAAATAATACGTGTTTCTTCAATCATACATTTCAATTAAATAATTGTAAATATTATGTTTGGAGTAAGCGGAATAAAAGTCACGAAGATAAGAAGAAAAACGATCGTTACTAGTAATCACTGAAATTAATTCCTATACCTGCATTTGACTGCGTCTCCACATCGGAAGCGAATTTCCATTCCATCTTCAAATTGAAAGAAAATTAAAATAGTGATTTCACAAAAGGACCACGTCCGTGAACAAGCAATTATCTACAATTAATAATTTAATGCACAGGAATATTTTTTTTGTAATCAATATTTGACTGTTTACAGTCATCTACTTCTCAAAAATCTACAAGTTGTAGTCTTTCTCAGATGATCAGGGAATCCTCATAACTTGTTCGTATTTTCTCCTTTGTTAATTCGTACTCCAAACTTCAAATTTACATATTTTGGCCTAAGTTTGTCTTTCGTCATATGTCTACCATTTTTAAATATGTATTTCCTATTCGTGTCATATATCTTGATTTTAAATCATATATCTTGATTCGGGTCAGACAAGGACGTCATGCACTTCAGAAGTTTTGGTGAAGATGAACATCTCAAAATTGCAATGAATGTCGTGGAAATGGCATTTCTGATTTTGAGTAAGTAACTGACGATAGCACTTTGTTGAGTGAACTGTTCGAAAATCATCTGGAAAACAATACAAAATCTATTAAATTATTCTTAATTCCAAAGGCAGAGCGAATTTTACAAATAGATATAACCTGCTGGTTACGGACCGCAGGGAAGGGCGTGAAATAAAAAAGCTTGCTGTGATCCAACAGCTACGAAAACAATACGCAATTTAATTTAAGAAATGTTTAAACATTTTTCTCAGTATTTGCCTTGAATTCTCCACAAGCAGTCAATTATAAGTACTAAATGTATTCATACTATTAAAGTTGTATTTCTTGGGCATCATTTCATGAAATACGCAAAAATAAATTACTTATCGTTAATATTGGGGAATTTGCATTACAACAGTTCTTGAACCACTGAGAATGTTATTCAAATTCCTAACTTCAACAAAAACATCTACACTGTTCGCTAGTGAATTTTGTTAATTAATCGGATTAATTTTGATTAGCAGAAAATTTAGAAAAATACCATTAATTAAAAATCTCACAATCGCAACTGAAAACCTTTTGCAATTACACGGCAATGAAAGGGAGTGAGAATACATTAAGTAACAATCTAAATTCCATGTACGAGTGTTTGCAAAGACTCGTTAAGCTACTGTTACTGGCCATCTTTTGATAAGGATACTAGCTTGACTAAGGCACTACTCCTCAAGCTTGCACCCTTTCGAGAAGCTTGCACCTCATAACCGGCCAAACATTTCACTCGGCAGAGGCTTTCTCGAAACAGTTTAATTAGCCAGGAAATTATCTCTATAATCTTTTTAAATCTTTTTATTTATTTAACCTAAAAAATAGTAAACACTACGATGTTTGGGTGGGCGAATGGCTATATTTTGTGTTCAAAAGCAAAGCAAACAATCCGTCTTGGCATTTTCTCAATCGAACAAGGGAAACTGAACGAAGAACCCGATAGAGACGGGTCATTGAGTCACAAGCTGATTGCAATACTTGTTACATGCATTCTTCCGGAATTATACAATAGCAATGGTGTATAAAATGACGGGCCTCCTTAGAGTTGAATACAATTCAAATGTGTTAGTTCTATATTGTTTAAAGTAATTAAGTTAAATATGGTCTATTTGACCTATTTCTATATGCCGCAGTATTTTAATGTATATATTATTCAAAAGAATTTGTATTGTATTCGTAGCCCCGAAGAGGTCAATGATTTTATATTGACGAAAAATGGAAGATATAATTAAATAATCCATGATGTAACTGAGTTTTGGTTTTCAGCTAAATGATTGGATCCACAAGGTCATCATTTCTTCAATTATGACAAAATAATGATTTTTCTTCAAAGTTATTTCTATTATTTTTAAAACGACGTATAAGCTATCAAATCTGGGACGATGCCAAAAATTACACGAAAAAGTAATTTTAAAAGCAAATATTTTGAGTTTCGAAGTTACGTTCTTCGTTTACGAAGTTAACGAAGTTAAGAAAGTAAATGATTATAGATGGTATTACTATTGGCGATGTAAATGAAGTCGACACTGTTGCTATTCACTTGGAACACCATTTCATTTCATATTAAAAGTTTTGCAGCATTAATGAATTACGGTGTAGAAGAATCATTACCGTTAACAATGTAAAGAAATGTGAAAATAGACTTCAATGAAATACATCATATTTGAAATACCTCGAAAAGTTATTGAAAAATAATTACCACCTTTTTCATTTTATTATCATTTTTCAAAGTTGGCGCAAGCGTGCTAACAGACAAAAATCTCAATTTTAGTGATGATAAGCATTCCATTATTTGCAATTTTAGAGGGTGAGTGCCAAAAATGTATTTTGTGAAGAACTAGTACAATGTCGTATTGTCTGTAATCAGACACATTATTTAAATGTATATATCACAATAAAAGTATATATATAATCACAATAAACACGCGTTGACGATTCTATTAACAAATGAAAATTTGTTTTGAATGTAACCCAAAGAAAAATTTGCATCGCAATCGATTGAAATTAGCCCGCCCGCCCAACGTATACTGCAGAGCGGGAGAGTGTTACGGGTTGCATATGCACTGACTCGGAATGACTGCCCATCCTTACAAGCTGTTCAATATAAAGGAGTAATTTTCACAATTCAACCTGCGTTGCATATTTAAAATACATGTTTCTAAAAAACAAAATTCCTTTTTAACAGGAGAATTTGAATCATCTATCAGTGCATATAAGACATCAAAAAAATGAAGTCAAACTCGACTCGAAAAGTTTCATTCCGATGTTATAGTGTAAATAGTTATTTTCAATAATAAAAAGTAAATGCACGTTTGGAAAAATAAAAGGTCTCTGTGTTCGTAATTTCATTACCAGGGCTCGGATTCTGAAGACATTACCTTTTCATTGGTGCATTCTAGACGTAGCTAACTTGTAAACAAATGTTTATCACGACATATATGATAGAAATATATAGTTTTGGAGACATTTTTTGCCATTCTTCTATTTTAGGTTCTTTTTTGACCTATGTGTCATTTCTGTCAATATTAGGAATTTTGTTTCCTTTTCCTGATTTTTGTTACTGAATGTTTCATGAATTAACAACGACAGTTTGAAACAATTTTTTTATTATATCATCAGTTAATGACGAAATCCACTACTGTAGTAGACTCTGTTTTTCGATCTCTCAAAATTACATGGATCGGAGGTAACTTCCTCACCTTTTCGAAACTGACGTTTGGAAGATCCGAGCTAAGACTTATATTTCCTTCTAAAATAAAGTATATGTATGTATGTATGTATGTATGTATATATGTATGTATGTATGTATGTATGTATGTATGTATGTATGCATGTATGTATGTATGTATGTATGTATGTATATATATGTATGTATGTATGTATGTATGTATATATATAAATTTATTTAAAATTGTAAAATTCAGTGAATAAACAAACACTTTCATATACTTTTTTTAGGATTAAAAAATAGATCACTTTACCCTTTTAAGTCATTTTATAGGTAATTTTCAAAGAATATTTAGGTCATCCGAATACGAGCTCTAGTCCACTACTAATAATATACCCTCACATTGTTTCCATCTTGCCTACCTCCGTTCTTCAAATTTCAAGCAATCTTCTGTCAAGGGAGAAAATAGGTGGATTTTGAATAATTTGTAGAAGAAAAGTATGCAGGCAACTGAAACGCCAACCCGATTAGCGAAAGGTAAATTTCAAATAAGCTGGAAAGCATTCTCCTATGCCCTCTTGTCGCTCGTGCGACAGCAACTCTGAAACTGGAAGAACTTCTTACCCCGGCTGAGCAGGGCGAGGGCGCGGGCGATTGCACGGGCGATGGCGCGGGCGATGGTGCGGGCGTTGGCGCAGGCGAGGGCGATGGCGAGCGCGGGGGGGCGTCGCCATCGTGGGTGTGGGCGCCGCCGTCGCAGGGACACGTGGGCGGCGGCGGCGGCGCGGGCGCGGGCGCGGGCGCGGGCGCGGGCGCGGGCGCGGCCTCAGTGGTAGGCGAGGGTGGTGGTTGGGTGGTGGCGTCCGCGCCCGGATCGCCTCCTGTCGCTGCTGGCGGATGGCGCGCGACCTGGAAAAAGACACACTTTAGGATGGGATTTAAAATTCACATTCATTGAAATAAAAAGTTTTTGACCGAACGCTGCCAACATTTCGGCCGCCATGCTGCGAACTTGCTCAGGGCGAAATGCCTGGAAACGAACGTTTCGCCCTGGAGAGTCGCAGCATGACGGCCGAACTGTTGGCATCTGTGCCTAGGTCGCGGCGACTCCCGGACAACCAAGTAGATACTAATCACAGATAGCTAAGTAACAAAGTGGCAATTTAAGGAGACACTTAATAATTTTCTTAGGAAGTGACAAGTGGCCTGCAGTAGCTAAAATATTGCTGAACGAAACTCCACAAAGTGGTTTTCAAAACAAAGTAGCGCTTTTATTGCTCAAGAAAAGCAAACAAAAAAATATCATATATCCCTACTATAAATATTTTAACAAAACCAGCCTTCACGAATACCGCAATAACATAATATAGTATATGATTAGTACAACAGTTCTTTGCGAACCCTTCCTTCGAGTCTAGCTGTCGCATGATGTAAGCTGTGTTGTAAGCAATGGCGCACTGCGTCTGTACGCGGAATATGAAAATAGATGAAATAATACAATGAAATATTTTCATCTTTCAGTCAAAATTGAAACTGTTTCATTGTATTTGTACTTTTGCAGTGTTCCTCGAAATCTAACGAAGCCATAACCTCACTATGGCAGAGGACGCATAGTTTTCTTTCAATTTCTGCACGCGTTGGAAATTAGTAAAATATATACAAGTAGATAAATACTACTGCGTTTCTACTATTTCTTGTAGAATTTCCACGTAAAATTATTCAAAAATGAAATTTAAAAATTTAAATGTATTACCAAGACCAATAATTTACAAGTTGAGTACATTATAATTTCATTATCTCGTATGATTTGTATTTAATATTTTCCATATTGAATTCATTCACAGGCAAAAGAGTACAACACGGTTACGAAATCCTCAAATCAGTTCTAGATTTTTACATTTGTGACAATTGTCAGGTCGCAAAGCAAACGGAAGAATCACCCTTTAAGATTCCATGATCACTGGCGGCGAATGCCGGAGCGGCACCCAATATCGTACAACGGGCTGCGAGCAGCGCGCTTACTTCCATTGCCATCAACTCAACCAATCCCGGGGAAGTCCCGTACCCTCATCAACGGCATATGCCGGCAGGGAAGATGTCAATAGCCCGACAGAACAACCGGCTGAGATGGCTCAGTAACAACATCCGTTGTCGCCTTAGTGGCTTTAGGAGGTAAAAGGGTTCTAATCCCGACAGTGGGGGGTTTTCGACATTGTCTAGATCCCTAGGTCGCATTCGGCCGCTCTCCGAAGGAGCATTCTAGTGGCCGGCTGCTCTCATGGATAGTTTTCCGATCAATATTACGCGAATGCCGGGGAAGTACTCTAACAAACGGGCCGCGAACATCCCTTTCCCATCCTTGATTTCTCCTCCCCCTCGCGCAGGGGGGAGATATCTGGATGAGGGGAAGCCGACAAAGCGAGGAAATTACCTCTTCGCAGATATGACATGCATTACATTCACGGGATTAATGACCAAAGCAGTTGATGAATCCGGAAACATTAAATAATTACACAGGCATCCTATAGAGTAGGGATGTCAGAAAATATAACATGGCGATCTTCCGGGAGAAATGGCGCACGGCTTCTGTCAGTGGAACTCGAGGATCTCCACTGGCTGACCAAGAGGTAGGAACTTGTTGCCAGGAGGTAAAAAACCACATGCGAAGTGACTGTTCTTTTGTCATCTGTACTATTATGAGTCAAAGTTTAGAAACTTGTAATATTCAAAAAATATTTATTTCATGTCCCCTGATCTTTCCCGTTAACATTTCTCTGCCATAAAAACTTGACCATAAGAATATACTTATAACCATATTACTACTTATACTTATATGTCATTAAATTTCTGCCATAAGAACTTTAGAGGGAATTCTGCTCTGAAGAAAACAACTGATGCTGGATACTTTCTCGCAATATTCCTAATTTGCAATTCTCGAGGGTTCAGAGAAGTCAAGGAAAAAAGTCCTTCGACATTCTTTAAAGCGTCCCTTGTTCTATCCTTGGAAAGAATTGAAAGAAAAAAAAATTGGAGTGATTTTTGAGAAAATATTTTAAAAAAATAAATTGAATTAACTTCAAGCAGAAATTACGCAAAAACTACTAGTTTTTTAAACAGCTGAAAATTATATTTTTTAAAGGTCCAATGTTTTAGAACATATTTTATTTAAGTCATGAATCTTTTTTCAATATTATACTTTTGCAATGTTAAGATTCGTTATTTTCGAAAATACAGAGTTAACCGGAAATGGAACTAACACCCCTTTTTTACTTTTTTTGATACATACGAGGAGAGAATTTAAAAAGAATTGGAGGCGTTATTGAGAAAATAATTACTTAAAAGTTGCCTATATTTAACGCAAAAATTACTCATATTTTCCAAATGTATGTCCACGACCTTATTTCAAAATACGTCTTTGAACGGATTTCATTTAAAAAACACTATTTTCAATGTTGTAGTTGTAAGATGGCAAAAAAATTGAACTTTTGGAATTTTAGAAAATTCAAAAATTGAAACGAAATTGAAAGTGCACTATTCTGTTAAACATCTGAGGACAAAGATCGATAAAACATTTGGAGCTATTTTTGAGAAAATTCTGAAAATGTAGATGATTCATGTAAAGTACCCCCAAAAATCAAAAACAGTTTCGAACTTGCAGGCCTTCGAATTCGTTCAGATCGATCGGTGAAAATCAATTTTGAATAACATCGGCAGAACGGTTTAGGCGGTAGCGTAGGCCAAACACGGAATAAAAAACACACGTTTTGCTGTCAATCGATTTTTCGGTATAACCGACAAAACATGGATCCTGACTTTACAAATGTTAGAGGAAGTAATTTACTATATATAGGAACAAGATTTATACACTTTTTCTGACGAGTTTTTCTGACGAAAAATCGCAGTTTTCTGCAGCATTACAACGCTTTCCCTCTTTAAGAAGTGAGGCGAGAAAGTAAATTTTAAATCCATTTTCTTTATTACGTATTTTTTGTGACATTAGGATCATTTTAGTCAGCATTTACTCTACGGAAATTACCAACATTTCTAAGTATCCGAAAATTATTAACTGCTAATATCATTAAGTATTTTTACCTTTTAGTAAAATTATCACCCAACATATTTGAGCCTTACTATCCATAGTTCCCTTTCCTATACTTAAAATATCTTGTTGGAACTGCCCAGTGTTCGTTTACAGCCCCCACACTTTTTTCGGAAAGAAACCTACGTGAGATTGAAAGAAATGGAGTGAAAGATATGTGCTTCATATGTTTTCAGTAAATAAATTACTATATTCCTATTGATGCTTACTCCTTATTCTCTAAATATTTCAAGAAATAATATGCGTCAAAGCTGTACAAAACTCACTTTAAAGTTTTCATCGCTTCCTAAATATTTGTATCATTCATTACTTTTCTTATTTGCCGACCTGTGAAAATTCCTTTAATTTTGCATTACTAATTTAGGAGAATATTCAAATCACGTTTCATTCATTTTCTCTCAGCTTGTGTAGCTCTCAGAAACTTCAACAATCGTAATTTAATGTGAAGGGTCTTGAGTAAAATGTTTCAATCAACTGAGGAGTATTCATAATATTATGTATTGTTTGACGTAAGCAATTAACACTAAGGAAACTTCTTCCATTGGAAATGACTTTATCAATTCCTGGTCACACTGATCAGGACTTCACACTGATAAAAATTAGCAACATTTCATCTACCATATCTAAAAACCTAACAGCGTAACCATCACCATTAGTGTTCCATGCATTATGTTCTTAACGATTTTGTATACTGAATCTTGTCTAAAATATGTCGTATTGGTATTGTCAAAAACTTCTTTGATAATATGGGCAAGAAGAATCTGTTACAATTGCGATTGACAGCTTCGTCTTTGCCCTCGAAACAAATCGCTCTGCTTTAAGTAAACAGTTATCCTGAAAAAGAATTCTTTTGACGAGTAACTTTCCTTAAGCATCAATATTATTTTCGTTGATATTGCGCCTTACACATTCTGCGTAATCCAAAACTGAAATAAACAAATATATTCCATTTACTAAAAAAACCCGAGAACGAACAAAACCTGCTTAAGATTATGTAACATTCATGTTGAAAGCTAACGCCGATGTTACTCACGATCATGACTGAACGTCCCACAGATGATTGCTGAAACGTAGCCGTATAACCCGGGTGCATGAGAAAATACGGTTATTGGCACAATTTTAGTTTTTTTTTATTTGTCAGCATTAATTGTATGTTTCCATAATTATGATATTATTTATTCTATAATTATAATAGGGTTTTATACCGCGGCAATATCAGCAGGTCTGTGAAATCTTTACAATTAAACTAGCTGTTACAACAAAACATAATTTCTAGTGTTATTTTTAACAGCTAAGCAATATTATAATACTACATGTACGTGCAAAAGTGTTTCTAATCAGCAAAATTGTATCTTCGCTCTGTTATTCGAACTCAGGCCCTTACAATTTGCACGCCATTCATGTTACCTCTTCACCATAAACCTCACAGTTAAATTCATCCTCGACGCTTTAAAAAAGTTGAAATCCAAAAATATTCAGAGATTTCACATAATTTTCAAAAATTCAGAGATTTTCATTTACAGTATTTCAAGATAAAGTTTTAAAGAACTCATTTCATTTAGCAAAAAATCGATATCATCAATATTGTACATTTGAAATGTTTTTTTTTTAACTTGTCAAAAATACAGAATGAGACTAGCGCTAATTTCATTACTGTTCTTCACCGTATGTGAGGGGAAAAATTAAGAAACAAATTACAATCATTTTTGAGAAAATAATTGATTAAAATTGCCTATATGTCACACAATATTACGCGAATATTTCTCCTACTTTCGAAACATAGTACAAAACTTAATTTAAATATATACCT